ATCTGGAACCTCGCTTCGAAGTTGGCCATGCTTCTGCTGAAGGATCACCTTACAAGGAGGTGCCTGTGGATCTGTAAAGAGCGGATTTTTCAAGATGTCCGGACAGCTTCTGCAATCTAGGAGGTGGATCATCTCGTTCGCGGGTCTCAGAGGTATGACCAGCTGACCTTATGGAGGCGCCCCGGCCAGAAAACCTGAGACTTGACAATCAACACATGTTGCTGTCAATTAATAGAAGCCTGCTTCAAACACGCAATCTGGTTTTTCGTGGTCACAGAGCAGACCGATTCTGCAGCAACACCTGCAGATTTTTTGGCACAAATGGCATTGCAAGAGATTGAGCTTGTATCCGTAGCACCACTGCCCAGCAGCTCCAGCACTAGCACCTGCACTGGAAGCAGCAGGACACCGAACAGGAAAAGCAGCAACAACAGCACCAGCCAGTACCACCAGCACCAAGCAGCCGAAATACCAGCAACGCACCACACCACTTCCCACCGCCTGGAGCATGGCTGGCAAGCCCTCCAAGCAGCAGACCACAAACCGGGAAATCTTGAAGCTTGAACGCCAGCAAGCTCCAATCAATAGCCCGCCCACATGACTGATTTGCTGCCCAGACGTCTCTCAATTGTTCCATTCTCAGGCAGCTTCAAGGGGCCACTTTCCAGGTGTTCATGCTGAAAGTTTGTTTGAAAAGAAGACACGACTTGGCTTCCCAGGCATCGCAGAAACTCACCCATCTAGTTTCAAGGTATGAGGGACAGCAAGCTAGGTAGCTTGGTCAGGGGTTGCGACTTGTGCGTTCCTGATGTTTTATCCGGTTTTTTTTGGGCGGGTAGCAGGATACTGAGGAATCGACTCATAGATTACGGCTATGAAGTGTTCTACACACCTTTCGCACATAGTTTGGCGGGCCGAGTTGCGAAGAGTTTGCTGACATGGTCTGCAGTAAGCATCCATTTCTACTGCACCTGACCCATGCAACGCAAAAGCCCGCTGAAGCTCCTGTTTGGCTTCATCAACTATACCTGCTGGCGAAAAATCCATAGGCCTCGGGCTTAGTCTCAGCTCCCTGGTGCGGCACCAAGGGCTATGTAATGGAAGGCTGGGAAGCCGATAGATGAGAGAGGAGTTGTTGAGGGGCTGTATGACGTATGACGGGGGTTGGGAGGCAACCCACCCCCGACACTTGCGAGCACCTCCAGCAATGCTTGGGGCAGGTCACACGAGTCGCGGGGCAGAAAGGAGAATTCAAAAGAGCAAGCTGTGACAGGTTGAAACACAGGCAGTTCTCCAAACCCAGGCGTCTCCTCCTTATAAGTGACAAGAATCGGATCCCATGCTCACATTCATGGGCTTTGTGCAGCATCATCATGATGACGGGGTTTATCATCTAGAGGCCTTCGGAGAAATAGCAAGAGAGGCAATCCTTCTTTTGAGAAATTGCCGTCTGAAAGGTGTGAAAGCCCGAGGTCTGAGGACTGTGTAGTGAAGATTCATGAGGACCTGAGTGCTCTGCGAATCGGGAATTCAAGGATGGGCATCAAAGTAGTCCTTTCACGTTTACCTGGGTCCGCATGAATGACGCAGGCTCATCGCGTATTGACTATTGACTCGCTTCAGTGCGCGGCGGAGCTAAGCTCGCTCCGGGCTGGCTCCACACAACAGACCCACCAAATCCTAGCGTCAATGGGGACTCGAGAGTCCCGCATCTGTCATAAGCCTAGCTACGAGGACTGAACTTTGCACAGATCGTATGTTCCTCAGGATTCCCATGTAGCACTGGGGGAGATCCGTTACGCACCGCTCTAAAGTAACGCTCTTTCAGACTGGCTGTAAAATCTAGAAGTCCTACAGCACTGAGCATCCCAAAGCGTCAAGTCCTGAGCAGCCATTTGGCCAGTCACTGGCTTGCACAGTGCTTGAAGCGGCAGACTGCTTGAAGGGGCAGGTTTTGGATGCAGGCTGTTGGATTTGGGTCTTGGGGTCAGGGGTACTGTGCCCAGTAGAGCCTTGAGCAGTTTGATTTGTGAACAGCTGTTTAGGCAAACACCCGCGTGCTTCACCTCATGCTTGTTCATCAGGACCGTACATCATGGAGCGAAAGAGGTCAGGGAACGGGGGGTCAAGCAGTATCCGCTCCAGAAAGGGTAGACGGATTAGCCTAGAAAGAAAGCCAGCATAAGCAACATCTGGAAACGCATGGACTTCTCATTGTCTCTCATCTGGCCCGCTGTGTTCCAATCTTACTCACGGCGTTCGAGATGGGACGCAACCTGTATTTCGCGGTCATCAGGCAGAAGCCAAGAAGACCTCACCCCTTCTCTTGATCTGCAGGCCTCGCTGCTCGACGGGATAATGTCAATACCTGTAGTCATCAAGGTTTGGAGAGTTGGGGCTAAACCTTCACTCTTGAGACAGACCGGGTCCGTGCCTACTCTTTGTGGCTTCATGGTAAGACGGGTGAGACAAAAGACACGATGGGTCGAAAAATAGGGTTAGACGAAAGCTCAGAAACCCAATCCTAAACTCGAATTCTAGCTCTGATTCATTCTGCTCGCCGCCCCTTCCAAGCAGGAAAGATTTGAACGCCGCGTACTTCGACACGCGAAGTTCTTGTGCATGGTCGCATGCCGCGGAAGCACAAAAAGAGTTCAATGAGAAGAGATTCTTCAAGTTTGCAGTGGGGCAGCGATGACTTGGCATACTGTACGTTGCGCCACTCGGTGGGTTTTGCTATGGCAACCTCCACTGTTCTCCATGATAGTTTGTACTGATCCCTCAGTAGCATATTCACGTTTCGAAGTCTCAAATGTAACTGACATGAATTTTCAGATTCTCGTCTGAGATCCACCTGTTAGATTGCATCATGAGACCATTTCTGCAGCTACTCATATCAGAGGGCTCGCACGGAAGAAGCCATAGCAAGCATCCCAACTGCGTGGAGATGCCTTATGCGGACTTCTCGCTAAATTTAAGGGAACCTCATAGGATCGACCTGAGGTTGGTGCCTCGTTTAACTCCAGCACTGTTGGCTTGTAATTCTGAGGCCTGCATTGATGGCACTACTTTGTTTCCCTGCAGCCAGAAGCTCTCGAGTCTCGGAGCAAATGAGCGACCTTTAAGGATGTTTCCTGCAGCAGTCTCTCAGAGAAGCTAAAGGTTGACGTACACCAGAAGCATCAGAGCGGGGCGAGTTTCCTGTGTTTTGTGGCTAATTTCGGGTTTCCTGGTTGAGGGTGCAGCGCTGCATATCCAAAACCTTTCGCTGCCATGCCGCTCGTGGAGGCACGTTGTCAAAAGACACGAAGAGCACAAGGTTGTGACTCTACGGCGGAGTACTGGTTTGCAGCGGCAATTGGTAATTCAAACTTGGCTTCTGGCCGTTGCAACTGAGGACAATTCAAGAAACTTTCGCCAAGTTGCATGTAGAGGTTGGGGAGGGTGACGCAGGGTCCAAAGTCCTTGCTGATGTGTCTTCTTTCGTAGGATTTGTGGGCTGCTAGCAATAGCCATGTTGAAAGATGCCACGCGCAGTCTCTTTCTGCACATGACATGTTGGCGCCCAGACATGCAATGATTCAGCCTAACAACAGAACCACGTACGGCAGACTCCGGCCGTGTCTGATGCCTAAGCTCTCTCAAAAGCTGTGCTTGATGATGAAAGTCGGAAAGCGCGTCGAGTTGTCGTTGTGATGGCCTACTTCCACCTACACTGCAAAACCTCAATCCCTACAGTTCCATGTCCCTCAACGCCAGAACCTTCATCATTTCACCTTCACTTCACTCTGGCATCTCAACCGCCCTGCCCAACATATGCCGGTTGACAGCTGCCAGTGTTCAAAAGACGTTGCCGAGAAAGCTTTATCTAGCAGGTGTTATGGTACAACGGCAAATTGCCAGGAAGGTCACCCACAAACAGGTTCACTCTCCTTTCACAGAGAGGAAGCAGCTTCTCATCATTAAAGTCATCAAGTGCGTAAGTACAGAGAGTGGTGGAGCTCAGCGCCTGCTCCTTCTTCCAAGCAGATCGAAGCCTTGGATTGGCTTAGCTCCGACTTTATGATGCATAGTGCCTAGGGTCTAGGGCTTTAATGTGAGTCAGACTCTTCTGAAAAGCTGATCCTGTCTATAGGGTAGACCAAAGTTGTAAGTGTCGTCCTGCACCATTACAGCTTCGGCGGTGGAACCTCCGTGAGGTGAGCCTGGCTCGGAGGGCCTGAGATTGAGGAATACCGGCCTCTATGGCTTTGTCCACTTGAGCGAAGCGCGCGAGACGTAAGCGTGGACTTTACGCATGCCGCCACGGCGGACCACCGAGAGTGATGGTAGCCTGACGCCCGCGTGAAATTGTCAGCTTCAACTCTTGAATCCTGAACCTCTTTTTGACTTCGTGGACAAATGTTGGAGACCTCATGTTCGGTTTGGGTTTTTTGCGGGGGCCCATGACTCATGCAGACTTACGCGTTGCAGTCACGGTTGTGTGAGATAGGTTCTCGGAAAAGTCGGGTGATTGCACATTTCTCATGAACACGCTACGCAAGCACACAAAGCCAAGCGCATAGCTTATGTATGCCTTCAGCTCATTTGGCCACTCGAAACACATTCGGCTTTCTGCCCCAGCATGGAACCCTTTCCAGAAACAAGGAGCAACCCAGGCCCAGGTTGTTAGAGGCTGTGATTGCATATGAGCTATAGTCTAAACTCCTTAAAGGGGCTTGTAAAGGGGAATATTACAGGGGTTCCTCAGGGGAATACTAGGAGTTAAGACTGTAGACTAGCTCATATCCTATTGCTAGATGCGACAAGTGCGTTGAAAAGCATTTACTTGGAAGTTCATGGTGCTTCCACTTCGCTCAAACGTAACCGTACGTACGTGCAAGTGTTTTGCAACTTACCTGTGAAAATCTAGGTTGACTTCAGGCTACAATCTCAAACCATCAGCAATCTCCTGAACCTCCAATCAGACTAGATGGGTGCAGGTCTTCGCCAAGGAGGATATGTTACCAAAAATACCGGCTGCAGAGTTCTGCCACTTCTTGCAGGAACATTTCAAGGCGCCAGGGTTGGCATGGAAGGCTTGAAGAAGGAATTCCTCTAGTGCCGTGGCCTGCTTTAGGATAAAGCAAGACTTGGGGGCACACGTAGGGTTACAACCCTAGCAGCCATAGCATGTCTCTGGAAATTGAATTCTGTGGTGATGATGGTGGCGGCGGCATCGGCAGCGGTAGTAAGATTTTGTCCCCAGCTCCGATTGGGTTTAGTTAGGACGCCCGCTGGGAGGAGCCCTTCAAATGATCGGGGATATTGCTGCTTCTCATAAATTTTCATGTGACCTCATAGGAATGGAGAGTCTGTCTGGAAGAGGGGAGGTCACAAGGCTCTCTATCTTAAAGGCGCCTTTGGGTAAGAAAGGTATGCGCAAAATTGTTTGATATCATGTATCCTATTCTTATGCGAGGCTTATTGCTGGGTTCCCAAAGATCCAAGTGACATGCAAGCGACATGGTTTGCACATCGTAAATACACGCATGTGGAAGGCCTAAAGAGCTTGCTTGATCTTTTTCAATATGAAGAGATCAGCTGCATCCTTGAACCTGGCTCCATAGGAACTGAGCTCAACACTGCAAGCTTGAAACCCTAAACCGTGTAGTTACCCCCACTCCCTCATCCTGAAGAACTGGCCATACATAATTGAACCTTCAAAATGAGTTAAATGTGAGTCTTGAACCCTGAGCCCCGAGGTGGAGCCAGGAGTGGTGCAGGTGATGATGACAAGTGTCAAGGAGCACGGCTGGAAGAGGGCTTCTTGTTTGAGGCCTTTAGGCTAAGTCCGAAAACAAGGGTAAGAAACCCAGTTGATTTGCGCCTGCACCCTCTAGGGTTGGCTGCAAGGTATGTTAACACATCTGGTGCAAGTGAGGTGGCTCAGTGGGACCCCATCACTGCCTTACTCTATGTTACAAGCCTCTGATGATACCCTGGATTTCGTATCGTGAGTTTCTTAGTTGTGACACATCCTAAAATCACGGGCTAGCTCGATTCAGGAAAATGAGCACCTCGATTTTTCGAAGCTCATCTAAGAATGCACATGTGTTCCAGGGCCTCTCTTGTTCTTTCCTTTTGGTTCTGGCCATTCATTGTGTTCTGGCGTCTGGAGGGCTTGAGAGGCTCTGTGGAGGCCCCTGCGAGCCTCGAATGCCAAATGAAGTAGTTGAGGCGCTCAACTTCCTAAGTTTATATTACTGAGGAACTCAGTTTTTTCTAGAAAAAACTTCCTAAGTTTCTCAGTTTCTTGACTAGGCGACGTCCGACTCATGAGTCCTGAAAGCTGTTTCATGCCAAGCATCAAAAATGGCCAAACCAAAGACAGACAAAACAAAGAATTCACAGGGACGAGACCAGGGTCCCCTCGATTTCTTAATTTTTCAAGAGGGTGTAAATGTTCAAGAAAATATTTTCGCAGCTTCTGCGGGGCTCAACTGCCAAAACCAATGCTTTCTTAAACGGCTCTGTGTTTGTACCCATGTCGGATGGTATTTTGCAGTCAGCTAGTATCAATGTGTTGGGTTACCCGAAAAAACAAGGCTCCTGGACATAGCTACAAGTTAGCGTGGCAGCCTAGACTTCTCGAACCGCATCATTCCGTTCCAGGATCCACTGTGCGAATTGGTGTTATGAATCGGAGTCCATCAAATTCCGAACAAATAGGGGGTCCGCCGCATTCTGTCAGCTTCATCCAGCAGCCCTCACAAGGAGAGAAAGGTATGCCCTACTTGTGCGAGATCCGTTTCTGTCAGGAGGCCAACAAGGGACCGCCACGTTCTCAAAACTTTCCAAACCATTTGGGTCAATGATCTTCAGAGGCCAAGTTGCTAAACACATACAATCAGACAGGTTCCAGTTGCAAGAATGCTTCAATCGACAATCGACAGAATGACCATCAGGACCTTGCGCCGGAGCCAATCTACATCTCAATGCGTGCCAAGGGGACACCCCCACGTCGCGAGAAAGTCAACGAACTCCTTGCAGGCGGCCCATATGCACTTTTCGCGAATAGATTGCGCTTGGAATCCAGGGTCAAATGGGCAGGCAACAAACAGTTGCCAACTCCTGCATTCCACTTCACTTTGGCAAGGGTGGAAACATAGGTTGGTTTCTAAAAGTTGGGTTGCTACTCTTCAGAAATCCTTGTGAGATATGCCATATTCAGCAATTTCGCAAAGCAGGCGCGAAAAGAGGTTTCGATAGTGTGGTGGTATAAGGTCCTTCAGATGGCAGATGCAGTACCCTCATATTATGAGAATCCGTGTCATCGGCATGAACAATTTTTCTGAGGGTCCAAGGATGTCCAAGGCCCTACATCTTGAGTGTGGCCCCAAAGTAACTGCGGCAGATGTGCAGAAATATGCAGATGTAGAGTTGTAGAGTCTAGGTTCTCGCAGGCTGCAACTTGTAACTTGCATCTGAGTCTTGATTCCGGCACAGGTTAACCTTGCGGAAAGCAATTGTAAGCGTAGACATGTCGAGTTCTGAAAGGACACTGTTTCGCAGGCCACGCACCTTCTACACAGTTCAGTTACCTTCAGAGATCTCGCAATTTGCTCCTTAGTCTCCTGCACCGCCTACAATCCGCCTTCAGAAAAGACACCTATGATATAAGTGTTGACATACCAGTGTACCTTCCACGCCCGAACTGCCAAAACTGCTGGCAGCCCTTTTTTGTAGCATGCGTCGGAAGTCATTAGCTGCTGAACGAGGGGAGTTTAACCTGACTTCTAGCTGGCCCTGTACTTGCCTGCAGGGATACGTATTATCCTGCGAAAAGGCTGAATTCTAAGCCGTGAAGGTGGGGAATTTTCTGGGGGGAAATCCATCCTGAGGTATCGGAAAGTGGCTGACTGAACGTGGATTGGGGACTGGAAAGATTCGCATTGAGCGCCCTGGCCTGCAACCAAAAGGCTGAGGCTGAAGGACGATTCGGAGGGCGTCCAACAAGTAAGCAAGAGACTTCCTTTAGCCTGCAACAGAAATAGAGTGGAGTTTTAGGTGCAAGTCTGGCGGTCTACGTTGCATGATGCAGGGCGCAGGCGCTCTCAGGGGTTCAGCGCTCTGCAGTTTAGAGCAGCTGCCAAAGGGTCGAAGGGAGGCTGTCGAGTAGCAGCACTGAGGACCAGAACTGTTATGTTCCAGACAAGGCCCAAGGCCTTGGTATCCCGCATAGTACATTCCTGGCTCAATAGTAGGCACGTTTAGGGTCTGTGTTTCAAAGCCCAGGCTCTTTGAACCGTCTCAGCAAGCTGTCCACGCCTGGAGAGAATCCAAGCTCTGAGATGGACGCCTGATGTTGGCCTGCGCGGCATTGCTGTCTGCATTTAGGTTGCTAATAGTGATTCTCGCTGCATTCCTACTGAAGCTTTCAGCAACTATCATTTCGCAGTTCGCATTTGGAACAGGCGCGCTGTTAGCATCAGGGGTCACTACTTTGAATGCCTCCTGCAGGTCAGCAGCGCATGAAAATCAATCGCGACATCTGTATCGCATTTTTACCACCACCGCCACCCCCACCACCACCACCACCACCACCACCACCACCACCACCACCAACAGCAGCACCAGCACCAGCAGCACCAGCACCAGCAGCACCAGCACCAGCAGCACCAGCACCAGCACCAGCACCAGCACCAGCACCAGCACCACCAGCAGCACCAGCAGCACCAGCAGCACCAGCAGCACCAGCAGCACCAGCAGCACCAGCACCACCAGCAGCAGCACCAGCACCAGCACCAGCAGCACCAGCAGCAC